TCTTGACACAGGCCAAGTGGGCGGCGTCTATCACTCGGTGATGTCACTGATGGAGTAAGTAATGTCTGTGATGGACAGCTGGGACTGTAGGAAGAAGGAGGAGTGTTGTCCCCAGTGTAGCTGCCTAGTCTGCAGAAATCCCCGATTCTTATAAATTGAAAGCGAATCCGGGACAAACCCACCAGAAAACAAAAAAAAGATTGTCAGAGAAGTTGATATTTGTCATCGTCGTGTTGCACGTTTCATATCTTATAAGACTATTATTAACAGAGAGGATACAGAGCTGTGATGGTGTAATGTGTCTGAAAAGCCTCTTTGCTGTCTCTCGTTGTCTCTGAAGCTGACCGCAAGGAGTTCTAGCATGGTATGGTCTTCAGGATTTCCTCCAGTCTTGTGGCGTACAGTAACTGTCATTGATGATGTCTGAAGGGGTGTGGTGAGGGGCTGAGCCGGCTCAAATCATAAAGCTCCCGACGAATATTGTACCATTCAAAAGCATTAGTATCTCTTGATGGAGAGTGAGCAAAGGGGCTTTTGAGTGGTGAAGTAGCCCGTCGTAAGGACTCACTTCCTCCTCGTAGCTTTGGCCCCTTTAGCCCCTTTCTGCCCTCCTGTCATATCTGACCCTTGTTGTCCCTTGTCATAGTCTCTCAGTGCTTTAATTCATTCTGCATCTCCATGTTCTGCACCGACAAGCTGATGCCGTTAAACACAAACATGGTTCCTCAAGTGACTGATTTTACCTGTAAAAGGACATTCAGACTTGCAACATAGTTCAGTCATTCAGCTGGTAATTTCAGGTGCTGTGACTGAAGGCCTGGTATACTTCTTTTTCCGCGTTCTGCTCCGTCACGCGCACAGCCGTGTCCGCGCAGCTTTCTCAACCATGGATGGACGAGTTCGGCACATGCACAGTGGACTCGTTCCATCTCGATATTCACTTCACGCCTGTGCTGTTGTACGTGGGCACACAAATTTGCCTGCACACGGACAGTGCGCGGGGCTGTTGCGGAATGCGGACGGCCGAAGTATACTTTGGGCTTGACCGCTAGCATTGGTTAGAACTGATCTGTTTAGCTGCTCATGAAAATGACAGAGACGGCATGTGGTGGCAACCAATGGAATTGTAGACTGTGGAGGTCGCATAGTCCACCTCAGTAGCAAAGCACAGTAAAGCTACATGGCGACCTCTAGTGTTAACATCATTCAAAACGTTTCTTATTTCATAACAACCTGACGTCTCTGTGCCTGTATGAAAAACACACCTTAATGTCCTTAATTTCAAATCTCCCATATCTAAACTTGTCTCAGTTAATATATAGTTGAATGTTCACAGTTATAATAGTTATTGTGCACTTGAAAACACAAAACTTAACATCCTAAACAAAATCAAACATTTTATGTTTTCAAGTTTTTTGTGAATAAGTGACTTGATATGCATGCGTATTAATCCCATGATGCAATATAAACAACTCATGTAGGTTTACAAAAGTAAAGAATTAAGCACACTCAGCCATTTGAAAATAGCAGCAGCATTCGTTTCCGACCAGATTCACGTCAATTCTCACCCCTTAATACATAGCTGTTAGGATGTCCATCCCTGCCTTGGTGATATCTCTGAGTTGGGAAAGAATGCCTGTAGACATGTTCTGCTGACTCTGTGTGTGTTTGTCAGTGATTGGCGGTTTAACTGTGGACAGGCTGTCTGTCTGTGTGAATGTGTGCATGAGCTGCCTCCTGTCTTACTGCACACTGCCGGGTTCTTGTCATCACTCATTTCTCTTTCCTCCATTTCTCTCTGTGCGATGGCTTATGTGTGTCGCCTTCATCTCTCAGATCTCTACATGACCACTGTTTGTGCCGTTCCACTGCTGTTGTGGTGAAGGATATTTATATTTCAGTCTCCCCTTGTCTCTGGCTCTTTGTCCCTGCTGTATTCCACTTTAAATAGCCTGCTTACCTTTTTCTCTCCTTGTTCCACTAGATTCAACCACCAGTGACTCTGCCAAATCAAAGGTGAGTACTTTTTTTATTGAGATAATTACAAAATCTCTATATTCAAAAGGAGACTATTCCTGCTTCAGAAGCCAATTCCCTGAGATTGATCACATTGCGTTGTAAACTTACACTTGTGTTTATGTGCTTGGTCCTGTAGCAGGGTTCCTGGGGATCTGGTAAGGACCAATATAGTAGAGAGCTGCTGCGTACTTCCATCTTTGCTAGCCGCAAACGCAAAAAGCCTAAGGACAAGCCTCAGCCGAGCAGCTCTGACGATGATCTGGACGCTAGTTTCTCTAAAAAGGATCTTCCAGTGCAAAATGATCCAATTTGGCATGCTGATGACGAAACTGAGGATGCTGAGAGTGAAGTTGGACTTGATGACCAAATAGAAAGGACAGAGGATGATGAGCAAAGCCCAGGAGACAGCCTTGACCTAACCTCTGAAAACAAGCAGCTCATTTCCGAACGTCTGCCCCAGGAGACTTGTCCTTTACCTAAGATCATCACATCGTCCAAACCTAGTTATCACATGACTCGCCAGAGTTCTCTGTCTGATCCTCCCTCCAACTACGATGACGGATGCGTCTCAGATCTGGGCACGCTTAACAGCACCAGCTCCCAGGCCTCAGTACCCAGGATGAGGCACGGGAGGACACCAGGCCACTGGATGGAGAGCACAGGAATGGGCCCAGGAGCTGAGGTCTGCTCTATCACATCAGATTACTCCACCACCTCCTCCATGACCTTCCACACAGGGGTGGAGTCCATCGCCCTCAGTCCGGAGGTGCAATCTGTCGCTGAAAGCCGCGGGGATGATGCTGACGATGAAAGAAGCGAGCTCATCAGTGAGGGACGACCCATGGAGACTGACAGTGAAAGCGATTTATCAGTCTTTGCTGGTGGCCGAGATAGTGGGCCGACTGAAGATAGCAACCAACCTTTGCAAGATGTACCCAACCTAATCCCCTCACATCGAATCATCGCGTGCGACACCCTGGCACGCAAGAGAGGGAGTCGACTGAAGACGGACAGTGAGTCTTCAGCAGACGGGAACCGCAGCGACAAGGAGTCCAGTCGACTCTCGCGAGTACTAGAGGCAGTCAAAGGCCGCTCCACCGGCAGTCTGAGCTCTTCCTCTCGCAGCGAATCGGAGCGAGCCGAACCCATGTGGCGACTCAAAATCACAGACAGATTAAAGTGTCGACTGAGGACGTCAGCAGATGACATGTTCGGGGTGGGTTCCCAGCGCACCAGGTCACCCGAGACTCGAAGTAAACGGAAGAGCAACATCCGCCGCAGGCACACCATGGGTGGTCAGCGGGACTTTGCCGAGTTGTCGGTAATTGGGGACTGGCAAAGAGTCGAGGGCAATGAGCTCTCAGCTATGGATCGCTTAAAGCCCAAATGCAGTTCGCAGGACTTCTCCATCCGAGACTGGATCGCTCGAGAGCGACACCGAGCCAGCAACCCCGAAGTTAGTCTGGACGTACTAGACCTGCACCCTTCCCGATCACGGGACCTGTTATCCGCTGGGTCCTCGCACTCCCACTTGGGTCAGCTCCTTAATGGAGATGTAGCGCCTGCTCAGAGCAAGAGCCTAAGCCTGGCTGCTGATGCCCACCCTCACAAACTCTCTGGTGCTCAAGTGGTCCGTTCCCGTTTCTATCAGTACCTGTGAAAATGTGTGTGAGTGTGCGCTCATATATATTATATATGAGAACACGGTTTGAGTGTCTGAGTATTGACATGTTTTAAGGTACTTGAGCGATGCTTGTAAGCCATGTTGGCATCAACGAGTCGATATCATGAGCGAGAGTGCGTGTGTGATATGAGATCGAGAGAAAGCGTGTATGAAATTGCTATTGAGCATTCTCTGAGAGTTGCGAGAAATGTTTTTGAAACATCCTGTGATATTTCCTTCTGTGAATGAAATTATGTACCGATCCAATGTTGTACAGTGAACAGAGGCCCTCTCACTGTTGGCTGAAGTGCAGTATTGCTGGAAAACTGGGAGAGCTCGAATTCCAGCGAATATAGATTTTAGATTTGAGACATCACATCATGGAGCAGTTGTAGTCCAAATGGCTTGGAAGTTAAAGGAAAGTAACTGAGAAATAGGCTGAGCAGGTAGGTCAATAGGATGTTGAGAAGACTAGAGTGTCTTGATAAAAGATTTATTTTACTGGAAGTGTAAAGTGGCCCCCGGTGTTGCGATAAGATCCGTCAGTAACCAAAACAAGAATGTATCTGCTTGTAATACTAAACAAACTGCCATTTTCATTTATGAAGTGTATATATTTCCCCTTTCTGTGCTTTTTTTGTTTATTGTGCCTGTGTTTAGACTGCTTCGCGTGCTGTGCTTTGGAAAGGTGTCTGTTTCGTTTTTCTTTTTTTAAGTGCAGTGCATGGTAGAAACTCGGCACTTCCATTCCTACAGCATTCCTCCTGGGTCTTAACACTATTTTAATGCATTATTGTTTTGCATTTGGTATTTTAACCAGACTTGAATTTTAAATATTCCTGTAAAGTAAGTAACTTAAATGTACATATCTATTACATGTTTTAGCTGCTCCTCTTCCTCCGGTCATCATCATTGCATCAGTTTCTTTTTGTAAGTATTGTACGATACAGACGTGAGGTTAAGGGACCTGGGAGAGTGAAGGCGAACATGCTAATCATCTCTGGGGTCTTCAGTCTCCCCGCGTGTGAACAATGCTTCCCTAACTGTTTGTATCATGCTGGGTCTGCTCACGTGGTGGACGCACAATTGTAAAACACTGGAAAATAAACACTTTTTGTCTGATAAATAACTAGTCCTGTTGAATTATTTCCTCATTCATTTTGGATTGGCACCACAAGGAGGCAGACTGCTATTGCAGGAACTTGCATGATATTTGTGATGGCTAAAACAAAATGCTGTAACTACTTGTTCAATAAATGTGAACGACTTAAATGGAGCCATATGGAAACTTGCAGTATATGAAGAAACTAACAAAATAGCTTTCAAAATGCTTTATGTACAAGGTACACACAAGTAGGGACCAAAACAGTTGTAATTTACACATCGGTGCATCTGCTTACAAGACAGGATTTCACTTACGACAATAAATTCAGTGGAACCACATAGGAACATTCAAGCTGTCAAAAGTAACGACGTAAATAGATACATTAAAACAAAAGAAACCATCTTGCCACCATGCCAAATTATAGAGCAAGAAAATATATTCTATGCAAAACGTTCTTCAAAGACCTTTGTAACCACGTATGACATAAAACCTCAAACAAAACACAGACCTGCCCAAAGACGCTAGTCCTATGAATTCTGTATTCACAGTTAACCTACTGGATTACTTTACAACTCAACTAGTACACAGGACTGTAAACAAAATGTTCTTGGCAGGATTGTGGCATGGTTCTCTTTGATAACATAAAACTTTATTTCTAAACCTCCTTTTTTTTTTTTTTTCTCCATAAATTTTCCAGAAATTATTCGTCCTACCTCATGGACTGCCTGTCTTTAGCAGGTATACTCCAATAAGGCACAGTGACTAAATGAATATCCATAGACATTTGCAGCTGCACTCAAATAATAATAAAAAAATAAATAAGACTGTCCTTTTCAGAATGGGCCGATTCACAAATGAACAATATGTCATTGTGCCATCATGCGGACGCTGATATGGATACTTACAACAATTGATCGATTTTAAAGCAACCGTTTTACAGTAGCACATTTGATGAACAAATAGCCTCATGAAATGCACAGAACAAATTCCTGTACATTTTTATGTATATGATTTATGCACATTTGTTCAGCTCCAATAATTTTTTTTATGTAAATTGCCACATTCAACTGACACGTGAAATGGTTTTATAAATATTTTGCACAAATTCATTCAGCATGAATAAGCCCGATAACGATGACATTGACGACAGAAACGAATGGGTTCACAAGGACATTTATACCCAAATAAAGGACCTAAACTGGTTTGAACTCCTCGGAACGCTACGCAGCAGGGAAAATATGCTATTGAGTAAATCTGCAGCTTTTAATTCCGGCCAGTCGTTCTGTATATTGTGCTGTCATCTCTTAAAGCTTTCTGGCAGCAATGCATGAATTACAGAACACAAGCAAAAGAGTTTTGACCGAATCACGCATGTCCAGCTGGTTTTTTCGCACTGCTCGTGTGGTGCTGTGAGTATGAAATGGTTCATCATGTACCTCCACTGGTTCTTGTATCACCAAGTCATTCAGATTCTTTCCTGGAGCCAATGAGCCAATCAGAGTTGAGGGGTGTGGTCCATGCAGAGGCTCAGGAGAAGCCATCAGAACTACCATGAGGGTGGAGGGGAGGCGTTTGCATATTGGGCTGTAAGCTGGCTTGTGCTGGATCAGAATAGAACTTTAACCATCATCCTCATTGTCCTGCTCCAGTTTGTCTTCAGTCAGTATCTCTGGGGGTCTGAAACACTCCACAAAGAAGTTGACCAGCGACTGACTCAGATGTAGCTGCGACTCTCTCGAGTGGAGGAAGTGGCCTTCATCTGGGTAGATCTGACAGACAAACAAAACACTCATTCACTCAAGAACAAATAATTTTACTACATTAATTTGTCTGATTCTGAATATGTGTGTGTGTGTGTGTGTATAGAGAGAAAGAGAGAATATCCTGTTTTATTCAGAAATCTGTCATACACATCAACATAGTCCACAATTCATTACTTATTTCTGAGTGGTATTTAGCACTTGTCTATGTGGTTGCTAGGGTGTCTGAGTGTTTTTTGCATGTTATTAAGGTGTCCGAGTGTTTTTTGCATGTTGCTAGGGTATTTTAGCATGTTACTAGGGGTTGTTAGCATGTTACTATGCGGTTGTTAAGGGTGTTTGAGTGCGTTTTGAATTTTGCTAGGGTTTCTGAGTGTTTTAACATGTTGCTAGGGTTTCTGAGTGTTTTGGCATGTTGCTAGGGTGTCCGAGTGATTTTTAGCATGTTGCTAGGGATTCTAAGTGTTTTAGCATGTTGCTAGGGATTCTGAGTGTTTTAACATGTTGCTAAGGGTGTATGAGTGTTTTATCATGGTACTATCTGGCTGTTTAGGGTGTCTGAGTGTGTTTTGCATGTTGCTAGGGTTTCTGAGTGTTTTAGCATGTTGCTAGGGTGTCCGAGTGATTTTTAGCATGTTGCTAGGGTGTCTTGAGTGTTTTAACATGTTGCTAAGGGTGTATGAGTGTTTTTAGCATGTTATTATCTGGTTGTTAAGGGTGTCTTAAGTGTTTTTTGCATGTTGCTAGGGTGTCCGAGTGTTTTTTGTATATTGCTAGGGTGTCTGAGTGTTTTAACACGTTGCTAAGGGTGTATGAGTGTTTTTAGCATGTTACTATCCAGTAGCATGTTATTATCTGGTTGTTAAGGGTGTCTTAAGTGTTTTTTGCATGTTGCTAGGGTGTCCGAGTGTTTTTAAGTGTGTTGCTATGTAGTTGCAAGGGTGTCTTAAGTAGTTTGTGATGTGTTTCTATGCAGAACAAAGTTGTTGTGAGGAAGTGAGAAAAATTATCACATCTCTCCTCGATGAGCCACATGATTTGAGGTGTCATTCATGTCTACAGCACAACTGGAACAGGATGAGTTCTTGATATGTAATAATAGTGTTAGTGTTTTTTTTCTTTCAGATCAGTATATGTAACAGTAATAGTGTTTCTTGATGCAACAAACACCACTAAAAATATGTTAAATAATTCAGACACATAAGCGTCAATAGCTTTAAATAGCTGCTGATCAGCTCTTACCTGTAATGTATAATTAGCTTTCTCATTTATCAGGTGGGTGATAAATTTGGCCGTGTGCTGAAAATGGACTTTCTCTGTGTGAACAGAAAGAAATGTTACACACAATCCAGTGTCAGTTAAACAAATGAAAGAAAAGCATGTATTTAAGAAATAAAGTTAAGCAGAAGAAGCTTTGTTTAAATCAAGGGTTACCGTCAGCCGTCGGGTGAATTATCAAGAGTTTTTTGTCCCTCAGTTGCTCCATGTGGTCTGTTAAACGCGCCATCTGAAAAAATACAAGCCAACACCATATGTAAGAGAGAGTCCTGGCAAGATTACTTAAAAATTGTAGTCTGTTACTGATTACAAATTACATATTGTAATCAGTAATGTAATCAAGATTCAGACTCGATCAAGACTCATGTTAGGTAATGTATTCTTACTACTTTTGGATTACTTTTAGATTACTTTGGACATAACTTGTTTATAGATTTAAATGGGATTACTGTTTTGAAAAAAAAAAAGATAAATAAAATATATGACCATTAATCGACATCAGCGAACTTGCAAATGTGTTGAAATTATTGAAATATTAACTTTGAATTTCAGGGGGACTTCAAGTAGATATTTTAGGTCAAAGTGGTTTGACTGACAAAAAGTTTGGGAATCCTTGCATCAAATAAAAAAAAAAAACAATTGAAAAGAGAAGAAAGAATGAGGGATAGTCAATTAATAAATAATTTAATGCCAATGTGTGAATAAATTGTAATCATGTCATCCATAATAAGTAACTGTAATCTAAATTAAAGGTGCACTAAGTGATTTTTGAAAAACGCTCACACAAATGACCACAGTGTCGGATCATGTCCCAAAACACACTTGCAGCCAATCAACAGTAAGGGGGCGTGTCTTGTAATCATAGAGAGAAGAGAGCGCTCGATTTGAGTGTACAGAACGGATATTAGCAGATGGACTATAGATAGAGAAAACTGGAAGGTAAAAAAGAGGAAAATATCGGAGGAGCAAAACATTAAAAAGAAGTGTTACGATCAAGCAAGAGGTAAATATCGGAGCAGCTTTCCAGCGGTGGAGAGAACGCAAGGAGCGAGAAGGGCTCGAATCGGACGCTGAGGTTGCGTTGTTTTTGAGTACCATTGATTTTGCATTGTTTCACACAACTTACCTGTGTTGGCTTTTGTTTGAATATGCGTGTGTGTCATCTTCGCTTGTTTCCGCGATCGTCGTTGCCATGGTTGTGTACGTACAAGTGGGGCGTTGATTTCAAAATAGGGGCGAGGTCCTGTTGGGGTATGGGCGTGTTTGTTTTGATGCTTTCAAATATCAACATCGTTTGGCAAAAAATCGCTTAGTGCACCTTTAACATTTTAAAATAATATGATCTAAGTACAAGTACTTAATTTTTGGGATCTGATTTCATAATCCATATTACATGTAATCAGTTACTATCCTGCACTGGTAACATATTTGTCTGAGCTGACCCTCAACCATCTCATGTTGCTGTACATTACCTCATATTCTCTCTTACTGGCCTGCGGTGATCCTAAATAGCGTTCAGAAAACGCAGAAGCTGCGGAACAGAAGATCATGAGTAACATCGAGTCCATTTTATTCTGATGAATGAATGACAGGCATGAGTGATCAAACACTGGATATGACATACCGTATAAAGAGAAATCAGTGATGGGAGAGATGGCCGTGCCACACTTGATTTTGAATTTAAACATATTTGGATTTTCATCTGAGCGTAATAGTCGGCTGGCCAGGTATCCTCCATATGCCTGAAGCAGACAACACAGGTTATTAGTGATGCAGGAACATAAATGATGCTGAATGATACAATCATACATCACATGGTACAATTTCATCAAGAGAAAATTCATATGAATTAAACAATACAGACCTCCTGAAAGCAACATGAAATCAAAACCGACTCTGTGTTCCTGCTTTTATTTTGAATGAATCATCCCTGTATGCTATTCCAGATATTCTTTGAAAACATTCATCAAAATGTAATAAAAATTGCTTTCCGGGCAGGGTTATTATAGTAAACTAAAACCATTTTTGTTCATTGATAATGTACAAAAATAAATTAAACCTAAATAGTAATATTTAAAAATGTAATGTAAAATGAAAATATAAAATGAAGCTAATTAAGCCAATTCAAAATGTTAATACAAATTTTAAAATATGTACATAAAACTAAAATACCAAGGCCTAATGTGAGATAAAAGCGTTTTGCCATGCTATCTCACTACTTTTTGGAAAAATTTGTTTTTGACTGAAAAAAAATTAAAAAATCACTATTATGTAAACAACTCGGCTATTCTCACACTACTCAAAAATGCAGTGAAGTTAGAAGCATCATTACACTTATTCCCCAACAGTCACCAGGCAAACTCACCTTTCCATAAACTCCAGTTCTTGAGCTGTCAATGTATGGCTCCTGTGATATCACTCTGCAGGGAATCATAGAACAGATGTAATCGTGAGGTAAAGTGTTCTCTCAGTGATGCTGCTGTAGTTTTAGTGTCGTTCATGTGGATGATCTGACCTAAGAGCTTCCAGCTGGTCTCTCTCCTCAAACTCCCCCAGCTTCTTCATGATGCGGTGGAGGAGGTTTGTGCCCTGAAAGCCACTGCCGCGGCCGTCCAGACGCATGGTTCATTGATAATGTACAAAAATAAATTAAACCTAAATAGTAATATTTAAAAATGTAATGTAAAATGAAAATATAAAATGAAGCTAATTAAGCCAATTCAAAATGTTAATACAAATTTTAAAATATGTACATAAAACTAAAATACCAAGGCCTAATGTGAGATAAAAGCGTTTTGCCATGCTATCTCACTACTTTTTGGAAAAATTTGTTTTTGACTGAAAAAAAATTAAAAAATCACTATTATGTAAACAACTCGGCTATTCTCACACTACTCAAAAATGCAGTGAAGTTAGAAGCATCATTACACTTATTCCCCAACAGTCACCAGGCAAACTCACCTTTCCATAAACTCCAGTTCTTGAGCTGTCAATGTATGGCTCCTGTGATATCACTCTGCAGGGAATCATAGAACAGATGTAATCGTGAGGTAAAGTGTTCTCTCAGTGATGCTGCTGTAGTTTTAGTGTCGTTCATGTGGATGATCTGACCTAAGAGCTTCCAGCTGGTCTCTCTCCTCAAACTCCCCCAGCTTCTTCATGATGCGGTGGAGGAGGTTTGTGCCCTGAAAGCCACTGCCGCGGCCGTCCAGACGCATGACTATGGTGTTGAAGGAGCTGACCAGCACCGTGGTCCAGTCCACCAGAAACTGCTCCGTCACCATCTGACCACCGGGGGTGCCGTCCCTACCAGAGCAAATCAAACGCGTCAGAACCTGCCATGCTGGAGGAACATCTGATCAAACAAATGCCTCAAAACAATACCACAATCAATTCACTGTATCAAAACTAAGCTTCTGTTCTAAGTCTGTTGCGGTCACACTAAGCAAAACACATCAGTACAGTCTTTCTCATGCTTTCGAGACACATTTCTGTCTGCTAAACTAACAGTGTTGGGGAAAATTACTTTTAAAAGTAATGCATTACAATATTGTGTTACTCCTTAAGTAACTAATTTACTTAGGCACTTTTTATGGAAAGTAATGTGCTACGTTACTTTTGAGACTTTAAATCTGGGCAGGGCTTGCTTGTTTGTTTCTAATATAAAAAGTTCTTCTTTTACAAATGTAAACGCCCTTTCACACCAAAAGTGAAATGAATACGCCTCAGGTTGAAGAAAATGTAAATTCACGTCTGTACAGTAGAGGGCGCCGCTCAAACAAATTGCATGAAGAATATGACACAGGAGAAGAAAGTTCAACACTATTCAGCAATGACAAAAATTAAACACAAATGTGTCATCTTTGCTTAGCATGGTTGAACTGGATCATCGAAGTCCGTAGCAAAGACACTGGTTAATAAATTGGGATTAAATAAATGCTATTTGTCTTATTTAACATATTTAATTATTGCAGGTTTGCATAATATTCTGAGTTTGCATTTGACTGTTTTTATTCATTTTGGGGAATACTGAATCTGTTTTTGTGCAGGTGAGATGAGTAAATACATGTTCATATTTAGTCTAGAATTACAGTAAGCATCATGTTCACACAACGCCTCTGCACTTAGTCCTGATTTCTCTAAGCATGGCAACACGAGAGCTGTCAGTCAATACATGTGAAACAAACAACATAGGCTCATTGGAAATACGTGCCTCTACCAACATTTCTGCGGAACTCAAAAAACGTGCGTATACACACGAATCACCGCAGTTTCCAGTTGAAATGAACACTAGAGGCAGTAAAACTCCCAACAACTTTTATTCCTTTTCACACAAAACATGATTTGCAGGTCCACAGTTTTGCACAATGAAGCCTAACTTTCAAATAATTACTTGAGGAATATTACGTTATGAATTCAAAACAATTTGAACATGCTGTGAGATTTGAAAACGGATACTTTAAAACTTTGTCATCACATATACAGCGTCATACCGTATGCACGAGTTTTGTAATTCAGTAGGTTTGCTCGGTATAGCTCATGTGATACGGCGTTGCACTTGAGTGATGAAGAGCTCCGGTACGGACCCCGTGAAACTACAGTTCAACAAAACAGCTCAAATCCGCATAAGCAAGTTAAAACAGCACGGCTGCATCAACAAATGTGTTTTGCGACACTTGAATTATGAACCACCGCAATACGTACCTGAAGAAACGTAATACAAACACAGCAATACGTGCCTATATCAACATAAAAACGTGCCAGGGTCACGTATTGAACCTGCGTTTTAGTGCCACTCACTGGACGCTTCACTATGAAACGTGCAGTAAGGTACGTAATAACTAAAATGTATTTAGAGGCATGTATTTCAAATGAGCTTGTAACTGGCGTTACTTATTTTAACTCCGATATTTCCTTCTAAATTAAAAAAGTAATGCGTTACTTTACTACTTACTTAAAAAAGTAATCTGATTACGTAACTCCCGTTACTTGTAATGCGTTACCCCCAACACTGTGAACTAATACGCCGTTCTTGTGTTTTGACTGCCGTGTGGAACATGTACCAGTTATTCTGTGTGTGTGAATCACTTACACCAGCAGCAGTAAGGGGTAGTGAGCTGTTTCTATAAACCCTGCTGGCTTCAGGATCTGCATGTTCAGATCTGTGCAAATGATGGGAAAGTTACTGTGCTTTGAAAATCATCAGCTTTGTGAAAACGGACTCGGAGAGTTTGCTGAAAGATACTCACAGTAATCATCTATGCTGATCTTTCTGTACTCTACTTTGGGCATCTGCGTGTTGTTCACAGTGGTGTTCAACTGCTCATTGAGCTCCACATCCAGCAGCTCTGAGGGAAACCGAGAGAATCACATACAGTAGATGGTCAGAGAGATGTATTTATCGACTATAAAACATACCGTAGTTTGGGGGCAGTAAGATCTTTTAATGATTTTGAAAGTTTCTTATGCTCAACGAAGCTGCATTTATTTACAGTAAAAACAGTAATATTGTGAGGACATGGTGTACACAATTCATCTGACACAATTCGTTAAATGTTTCTCTCACATTTGAGGTGTTTTGTGTAGCGTTTATCTTCAAACACATTTAACCTTCGAACACCGTTGATAAAGCACATATCGAGGTCTTCTATCATGTCTTCTGGGTGAGAAATACCTTTCCAGTAAAATTGGATAAGCTGATAAAGTGAATGCGATGGTGTGTCTGTACCTGCTGATGGTGTTTAATGCAGTAACAGACTGAGGACTCACTCTCGTACTCTCCGTCTCTGGTGCTGTACACGGCTGTGTGAGGCACACCGGGACCTGCACGCAAAAACACAAGATTAGTGTCTGACAGCATATACATTCATGTCATCCCATCTCACAAAATCATGCTGGGCTACTTGTGTATCTGAGCATTACACTATACATATTGTGTGAGTTATTATATATGTGAAATATAACCTATTTCAGGTAAAACGCCTCTCTAAATGGCATGTAACCACTTTATATATCGCTCAGATGATTTCTTCCAAAGTGGGTGATTTTTGGCCAGGATAGCATCCTATGTTAGCATCTTGTGATGTTAATTAAATGTCTGGCTTCATGCAACAGTTACCAAAGCCAAAGACTCACCTACACATGGACAATATACAGATACAGCTAAAATAATAAAATGGTAGATAATAAAAACTGGAAGTATTTTTTTAATATGTATTTTTTTATATATGAAGCAGTTTCACTGCAATGTATTTAAGTATTTAAATAAATAAAAAAAATAATCAATTCAAATTTAGTTAAGTTTCTATAAAATGTGTATGTCATGATCTATATCATTATTGACCAAAGTGTTAAGAATATTGTGGTATACAATTAATGCACACTACTGTAAGTTTGGGTCAGTTAGATTTTTTTTTACTGTTTTTTTTTTTTTAATAAGTCTCTTTTGCTCTCCAAACCTGTATTTACAGTAATACTGTGAAATATATTTCTATTTTAATTTAATTTAGCTGATAAAGTGAATGCGATGGTGTGTCTGTACCTGCTGATGGTGTTTAATGCAGTAACAGACTGAGGACTCACTCTCGTACTCTCCGTCTCTGGTGCTGTACACGGCTGTGTGAGGCACACCGGGACCTGCACGCAAAAACACAAGATTAGTGTCTGACAGCATATACATTCATGTCATCCCATCTCACAAAATCATGCTGGGCTACTTGTGTATCTGAGCATTACACTATACATATTGTGTGAGTTATTATATATGTGAAATATAACCTATTTCAGGTAAAACGCCTCTCTAAATGGCATGTAACCACTTTATATATCGCTCAGATGATTTCTTCCAAAGTGGGTGATTTTTGGCCAGGATAGCATCCTATGTTAGCATCTTGTGATGTTAATTAAATGTCTGGCTTCATGCAACAGTTACCAAAGCCAAAGACTCACCTACACATGGACAATATACAGATACAGCTAAAATAATAAAATGGTAGATAATAAAAACTGGAAGTATTTTTTTAATATGTATTTTTTTATATATGAAGCAGTTTCACTGCAATGTATTTAAGTATTTAAATAAATAAAAAAAATAATCAATTCAAATTTAGTTAAGTTTCTATAAAATGTGTATGTCATGATCTATATCATTATTGACCAAAGTGTTAAGAATATTGTGGTATACAATTAATGCACACTACTGTAAGTTTGGGTCAGTTAGATTTTTTTTTACTGTTTTTTTTTTTTTTAATAAGTCTCTTTTGCTCTCCAAACCTGTATTTACAGTAATACTGTGAAATATATTTCTATTTTAATTTAATTTACAAATATACAACAAAGCTGAATTTTCAGCATCATTACTGCAGTCTTCTGTGTCACACTATGCTTCAGAAAACAATAACAAAGAAACATTTCTTATTTTTATGAGTGTTAAAAAATAGTTGTGCCACTTCATGGTTTTGTGGTGAAAAAAAAAAAAGATCAAAAGAACAGAATTTTTAAAAATATAAATATTTTGTAACATCATCACTTTTGATCAATTTAATGCATCCTTGCCGAATTAAAGTACTGGAAATTCTATTATAACAAATTGTTCTGACTGTAATAACTGATCAGATGAGCTGTTTTCAAAGCTGGGAATTCATCAATGCATTCAAACCCCCTTTTGGATCCTAAACATGGAATAATTATACAGCACCTAAAACTGACTATCATGCTCGTGTTCTTTCCCTCCGTGTTCGTGTAAACCCAGACTGTAAATATTTGTACATAGTGTACATATGTTTCGTACTATTTCTGCTCTCTACTTTGTAAATAAAAGCACTCTGTTTTTGCATGTAATCCAGTTGCACTGTGCCGTTTTGTCAGTAGCGTACTTCAGAGCTATCCATCTAAAAATCCTGGGTTACCATCTATGTTGCGTTCATTCCCTTATACCCTAGACTTGGGAACGTAACAAATGTGGGGGCTCGTCCGGGATGCTTGGTTTGATCCACACAACAGGTGGGATGCATCAACTTACTCAAGAACTGCCAAGAACTGATCTTTCTGTGCTGAGGTCTGGAGAAGCGTCATGCTGCAGGGAGCATAAAGGCTCTGCTCTGACTTCATAACACAATTAATAATAACACAAACACTGACCTTTCCTTGTGCTCAACAGACCCTGCTAAACTGATCAGTGACCATGGCAACCATGCTTTATTGTTGATAAAACACACAGCAGGGTAATGATGTCATGACTAACACACTCGGATCAGCCAGAGTCACTGAGCCAAACACTCGGCAGTGAGCGGTTACATAAAGAGAATGAAACACTGACTTTATATTCCATTTTATTTCTGGTCTAATAGTGCTTATTGCCTATTATTGTGCAATGATCCATTTCAATAAGATACAATATGGAGTATTCTATTATGTATGAAAGGATATTAGATATAAAGCTAGCAATATAACAATGTAGAAAATTGGTTTCTTATGACAACAGTCAATTATACATCAGTGCAATAAAAAATTTTATGGAGCAGTTATATCAGTGTGTGGACATCACATTTGTTTTCGCTTCAGTTTGACTTTTTTTTTGTCCTGCACCTGAGCCCTATTTGGGTTTGTGGCATGTGCGCACCTCTTTTGCATTTTAGTTAAAAAAATCTTTAACATAACACAAGATATTTACAGATGTTTTGCATAGAAAAAACATTAAACCTCTGCAGTTGAGAAGGAAGTAGTTTGCATCTGGACTGAATGATCCACTGACGTATCCACAGCTTAAATTACAGGAAAGACATCGGCGGTTGAAGGATCCTGTGGTGTTGGCGCTAAAAAAACAACACATGTCATCAGTGCAATGCTTCCCGATGACATCAGTGTGCGTCACATCATCTGCCATACCTGTAGAGGTGACGCCGTCTTGCATCGTCTTCTGTACTCAGAAAGTATCTGCAAAGACATTGCTGTTACAGATATCTATTTTACAATGTTACAAAAGTGGATAATGGCATATTGCTTTATTTTAGTGTTTATTGACAACATGGATAGAATCCAGCATCTGGGTCTTTTGAAAGTTGCTTACACAAGTTTGGTGTCCTCATTGTAGGCTAATATCTCCGTCACGTCCCAGTCTCCTGACGTCAGCGACTGTAGTGTGTCTGTGCTGCTGTTGGGCTAAAAAACAACAACAACAACAGGAAGTCACTTCTTACCTTTAACATGCGGTTAAAGGGATAGTTTACCCAAAAATTAGTTCATTTCAACGGTTCATTTACTCTCAGGCCATCCAAGATGTGGGTCACTTTTTTCTTCAGTAGAACAGTAAAGAAACCGCTGAAAACATGGTCCTTGGTGATTCATAAAAAGCAAGTCAATGGCTACCGGCACTTTACGCATCAGAAAAAGCACATCAGGCAAGACAAAATTGATACCTGTGGCTCCTGATGATATATTGAGGTCTTATGAAGCGAAACAATCGGCCTGTGCAAGAAACTGAATTTTTTTTACAACATTACTACCTATGTAATCCATAGCCTCAGGCAAACAGTCCGGAGTGATGTCTGGTTCACGAACGAATCATTCTTTTGAACCGATTCTTTTTGATGAACTGGTTCATCGATGGATTACAGACAATAATGTTGTAAATAATGTTCAGTTTCTTGCACAGACCGAACATGCAAGAACTCAATATATCGCCAGGAACCACAGGTATTAATTTTACTTACTGTTCTACTGAAGAAAAAAAGTCACCTACATCTTAGATGGCCTGAAGGCAAGTGAATTAACAGCAAATTTTCATTTTTGGGTGAACTATACTTTAAAGGAACACGCCACTATTTTTTAAAATAGGCTCATTTTCCAACTCCCCTAAAGTTAAACAGTTGAGTTTTACCATTTTCTAATGCATTCAGCCGATCTCCGGGTCTGGCGGTAGCACTTTTAGCTGTAGCTTAGCATAGATCATTGAATCTGATTAGACCGTTAGCATCTCGCTCAAAAAAGACCGACGGAAAATTAAAAGTTGCGATTTTCTAGGCCGATATGGCTAGGAACTATACTCTCATTCCGGCGTAATAATCAAGGACCTTTGCTGCCGTACCGTGGGTGCAGCAGGCGCAATGATATTACGCAGCGCCTGAAAATAGGCTAACTTCCGTCAACATAACCAACGTGAGCGGAGGACAGGGAACAGGGACAGGGAGCGGAACAGGGAGCGTGCTGGGGACTATTTTCAGGCTGTCAATGATCTATGCTAAGCTACAGCTAAAAGTGCTACCACCAGACCCCGAGATTGGCTGAATGGATTCGAAAATGGTAAAACTCAACTGTTTAACTCTAGGGGAGTTGGAAAATGAGCCTATTTTCAAAAATAGTGGCGTTTTCCTTTAAACCTTCCTAAGTAGCGTGTAGTTTCTCAGTGACAGCTCACCTGGGAAGTGGACATGGATATGTGGAAGAACTTCCCTCGGCCGCCCTGTGGAACGGCTCGGGTGAAGAAGAACCTGTATCCGTCTCTGGAGAACAGCGGAGGTTCGTTCTGCAGAGAGATTCACGAACATTCGAGCAGCACTCTTACACACACATCCCACACGCGTGATGCGTGACTCACCTGTCTGTGAAGCCAGCTGTCACTCTCATCTTCATGTTTCTGAAAACACACCGACAGATTATTGTTTTTTCTCAGTATTGTTCGACAAAATCCTTTATATACAGCCGAAGCACTGACTAATCTTTTCTTTCATTGAACTGACATGCATTTTAATACATTTGGATGCAACAATAGACGCTGTCACCCTTGTAGGCTTTTCTGGAAGATAAAAGGTCATGACATAATTCTCACACTTTCATTTGTGACATTTTACAGTCTTGATGGCATAAGCATTATTATAAACCATGGACAATAGTGATAATTAAGTGTTTGCTGGTGTATATCAGAAGATACCTTTGTGCAGATGCCTGTGGTGGCCTCACACAAGGTCAGGATGGAGTTGTTCTGCGCTCGGTTTAGCCAGTTTACTGCTAGTTTGGTGCTGGTTGCCCACTTCACCATGGTGATGTAGTAATCTTTCCTACAGAGGGAACCTGGTTAAAATACCACTTTAAACTGTGTCAAATAGAGCCTGTGTACATCTTTTTGTGGGTAAATGTGTTTATTTAAAAAAGACTTTGGGCAAAATGGATTTTGATCATTAGCTTAATTCAAAAATGCTCTAAAAAGCTTTTCTTAAAGCCATTCTTCTGTCGAGTAATGCAGTCCATTAGTCTGACTCTAGCCTGTTTACAGAGTTTGTTAAAGAGATATGATATCATTCAAATGTTTGGGGTAAGTATTTTTTTTTTTTGAAAGAAAGAAATATTTTATTCAGAATAGAAATTTTAAATTGATCAAAAGTGACAGTAAATACACAACGCACTGGATAGCTGGCCAATCAGAGCACACCTCGCTTTTCAGACCGATGAGCTTTGTAAAAATCGACGCGTTTCAGAAAGGCGGGGCATAGAGGAGAAACAATAATGTACAGTATGTGGAAAATAATGTGTTTTTTTAACCTTAAACCGCATAAACACATTTCATTACACCAAATACACAAAATAATGTTCTTTTTAGCAACATCATATGACCCCTTTAAAAAAAAAAA